CAGCTCCTTGGCATGTTCATTAGTACTGCTGCTGCTCATAGGAGGACTCCAAGCTGTGATATTGCCACGTACAATCATTCTGTTACTGCTGTTTCTCACTGCTTTCATCTGGGTATCAGTTGTACTGATGCTTTTGCTGGCTGTGAGACTTAGGTGGATTCTGTGGGACATCTCGCAGAGTTTTGTGTTACGTCTTGCCATCACTGTGTTCACTATTGTGTTAATCTACACTGTAGCCCAGGTCAATGTTGTGAGTATCCTTTTGAGCAACTGAAGAAAATGTTTAAATAAATGAATGCATTCATCAAAGGATAACATAGAGTTACATTCAGGTTGGTCTATCCAATATTCTGCCATTTTATTTCATGTCAGTGTTAATCAGGAAAATGGTATTCTACTTATTCAGTATATTACAGCTACCCTTCTTACAGTAGAGTTCTAATTATCCGACCTTCGGTTATCTGACATGCTGGCAAAGCTCAGAAGAAAATACCCATTTTTAATAAACTCTTTCACATATAAATTTACATACTATTTTGGTTTGTGATTTTTTTTTCATTTGATGCTGTATTGTATATTCTTCACAATTTAATAATATTGTAAATTGAATTATAAATTGAGTTGATATTTACCCTCATCTTTTTCATTGGTCTTCCATATTATCCAACATTTTTGATTATTTGATTGTCCTTCAGTCCTATTTAGGTCAGATAATTGGGACTCCCCTTTATCTGGAGACCATTTCCTCCATTTACAGTCTGAGAATGTGCCACTCCATAGTGACAAGGGCCCACTTAGCATAGTTCTGAATTATATATTTTTCAAATGAAGACAGTCGTTTTAATTATATAAAATAGATGTTATGGTGTGATGAGAAATAATATTATGATCTGAACAGTTGTGTGTTCAGGGTCCATTAATGTCAGAGAACCAATTTCTAATCCAATTGTGTTCCCAGTTCACTTGTCGGTGGGATGTGCCATGTCCTGTGCAGTCTACAGCGAACGTGACTCTCGACACATCAACTTACCATGATCATCGTGCCTGTCCCTTGCCCCAGTACATTATACTCTCATGCACACTTGGGTACATGGCTATAGCTGTGTTCCTTCGGCTGCCTATCCTTGTTAAGGGAGTCCTTCTCATTGTCATGGCAACAATATATATTTTGCTCATTGAACTCTCTCATTCAGCGCTGTTTCATTGCTATGACCATCGTGTCAGGTAAGTCTGCTTTGTAACTAACTGTCATAGTAATAGAACATGAAAATGTAGCACTGATAATGCCAACATCCACATTCCTTAGCCAGTTAGATCTTTACAACCCATATCTAAGATCCACTTTCACTTTATATTCCCATCTTCTTCTTGGTCTTCCAAGTGGCAACTTTTCAAGTGGTTTCCTCATTAAAATCCTGTATGCATGTTTTGTTTATCCTATCCTGGGCTACACCATTAGGCTTCTTCCAACTTTTGTATATTAGATGCTTGCTTGTTTTGGTCTCTTATGTAACAATTTTTATGGACTAGCAGAGAAGTTTCTTTAGAAATAAGTACAGATGAAATTAAGTATTTGAAAAAGTCTGCAAAAAATTACCATATTTTTCTCATAAATTTTTAAAAATATTTGAGAAGTTAACAATAATGGTAATTTTATACAGTATTTATGATTGAATCAGAAGTCAAAATTCTGGGAGTAGTTCAAAACATGCCTTACGATTGTGTTCATTGGCAAGCAATGTTTATACATTGGATTTTACCACTAGCATTCCTTAATTATTCTTTTGGCTGCCTTTTTGTCTTATATTCATGGTATGCTATGGCTGCTTTGTTTACACAGACACCTGGAAAACTATTATAAAATTAAATTACATAATAAAGTGAATGGGCACAGAAAATATATTACATTTGTTTAAAACTGTTCCAGAAGGGTAAAAAGTCTTTGTTTAGTCTTGTCAAAAAGGTTTGAAAATAAATCAAATGTTAAGAACATGGCTGTTTTCTGAGTTGTTGTCTGGTAGAAGTTTACTGATGTTTCAGAGGTGCTTGCTGCCTGTCAGTAAACTTCTACCAGCCTGCGTGGTGCAACAACCCAGAAGACAGCCAACCATCTTCATACTCACCACTGTGAGAACCTGAAATCTCAAATATCATTATTCTGTGCTTATGTTACTCTGTTCAAAATCTGTTACCATCATGTCTACATACAAAAACGCTGAAGATTAGGAAGTGAAATACAAGAATTAAAAGTATAAAACATCTACTGTTTGATAAATTAAGAATACATGTTGCACCCACTGAAATCTCTTTGTGAAAGCCTCTTTGAGCAATGCAAACATCTGCTGTCTGCATATGAGTTACACCATCAGTTACACTGTTATCATTTTTTTCCAGCTCGGTTGTGCCACAGCATATTCTTGGAGTTGTGTATGTTCTCATGTTCCTATTGGTTGTTGTGATTCATGGTCGGCAAATGGAGTGGACAGCCCGACTGGACTTCCTGTGGCAGATTCAGGTATGAACGAATTCAAATACGGTGGCATGGAAATAAATTAGGAGTGATACAGATTACCTGGTTGTCACTGAATGGACCACACACATTTGCTGTTATGTCCAGATACTGTCATTTACTTCTGTAATATGATTGTTTGCTTAACAAGTTATGTAAAATATATAATCGGTCTTTTATAATGGACATAGATTTGTTTTCTTTCAGGCCAATGAGGAGAAACGTGAGATGGATGCCCTGCAGCATAGCAACAAACGTATTCTGTTCAACCTGCTACCAGCTCATGTAGCCACACATTTTCTGGACAACCAGTTTCGCAATAACATGGTAACTTTGGAGTACAAGTAACATTTTCTGCACACTTGCTCAGCAACATCTTTCTGCTTAATTGGCCTTTTCAGAAATATTTGACACATTAACTGTATGAACAGTCAATTTTTTCTCATGCTGTTGAATTTCAGGGTTATTAATTAATTAATTTTTTGCTCATGCTGTTGAATTCCAAGGATATTATGTTTTTTGCTCATGTTCTTCATTTTTTCTAAGGAAATAATTGGTTTTTCGTAACTCCTATCTTCTTAAAAGTAAATTATGAAAGGCCAGACTGATTCAGTATACAGGGTGGATGAAAAAATCAGAATTTTAAACATGAATTACTTTTTAACTATTTGGCACATAGCAATGAAACCAGTTACATGTTTTGATTACAGTTTTGTGAAAATGTGTAGATGATGGATTAGGAGACCAGGACCTTGGCTACGTAGGTCTCTCAACCTCACCCCATTGGATTTTTATTGCTGGAATTTTGTTAAGGATTACACCTTTTTGAAACAGTGACCAATCTGGAAGAGATAAAACTCAGAATCAGGCAGGCAGTCAGATGTGTCATTCCAGAAACATTTGACTGTCTAGCAAGAACTGGGTTACCATCTTGGCATATGCAGTACTATAACAGACACGTGTTTAACTTGTGTCTTTATAGCATTGCTATTGAATTTTATTTTTCCTCGTTACATATAATACAGGTAGCTTTTAAACTTCAAGCACGTCTTCATCCACCCTGTATTAGTAACACAAAGAGATACTATTGGACTATTTATATGAAAGCAAGACATTTCCTGTTGTGTTCTTCCAAAATATATAAATTCTTAGTATTGGTTTGCTTATAAAATAATTAACTTAATAAATGCAGTTTATTTTGATTGAAAATAAGTTTTCTTCCAGTCTAGTTTGTAAAAAATAGTCGCAGTTATTTGTATTATGTGTCGCTTTAAATACTTGCATTTCATAAATATTAGTGTCAATGAATTTTTCAAGCAGTTTGAGTATGCTGATTTATATATATATATAGATGCCATTTTCTTGCATTAAATTACATCGCTGGAGTAGTTCAGCTTATAGAAATAACAAAATAGTCTCTTTGTGTAGTGTAGTATATTCCTATTAAAAGTTACTGATGTATATAAATTAACATTCTTTCAGTAACTGAACACTAAAACTTTGCTGTAATAGACTTCAAATTCTGTTTTTCAGTTCCATAAAATTTCATAATCTTCAAGGTGCAGCATATATAGTGAGAATAGTTTGCTTTATTCCTGAGTATTGATTGATCATTTGATTGGGGAGGTGTTTGGTTTTGCTGCATTAGATTCAGTACCATAATTATCAGTGTTTGAAATGGTAAGAATCAACAACCAGAATAATCCCTGCTTCTCCTCTCATGTGTGTTTGTGCCTGCCCTTATCACATAAACTTCAGGTGTGCATAAAAATAAAATGTTACCTAAGTGAGAAATGTTACTTCACTGTAGCATAGTCCTTAACGCTATAAAAATACTTCATTCCTTTATTATTCACATAAAGATAAATTGATTTGCAGATAAACTATAATCAAATTCATATTGTTAATTTATTTATAAATGAAAGTTTTCTATCTGGAAATCAAACATTCCAGAACTTCATGAATTTCTTCCACTTGCAGTAATCTACCACATTATAGAAGTTACATATTCCTGAAAGACTGACAGAAATTTGATTTTCAGCAGCTCAAATATTGTTAAATTTGCATTATTTTATCATTTTTTATTAAAAAAAACCGTCATATTATGACCTAAAATTACACATACTTAATAATCATACTTCTTTTAACCCCACATTCGATGAACGTGAAGTAATTGTCAGTAAGATAATGACCAATTTGTTAGATGGTGACTTGAAGACAGTCTAATTACAATAGACTTCCAATTATCCAGGTTGTCTGGGAAATATATTTTCTCGTATGATCGAAATCCCAGATAATCTACAGAAGTCTTGTCCTGTTACAGGTTTAAATACCAGAAGAAATTATTTTCCATAGTTGTGAAGTACAGTTTGTGTTTACTGTTGTCTATTTCAAACACTGATTATGGTGGAGACTGAATTCCTGCCACTCCCATATCAAAACCCTGCCTACCTAGTAAAATTGTTGGTACAGTCAAGTATTTATCCTTGAATTTTTAACACATTTTATTTTTAGTTACTAACATTTCTATTTCCACAATAGTAGATGAGCTTTAGACTGCAGTTTTTAACATTTTGCTGCATTGTTTTTATATTATTAGTATGCAAGATATATTTCCTGTTAATTATTTATAAGCAGTATGTTATTCATGCTGTGTAGTTTGTTGAGCTGACTTTTGTTTAGAAGTAGTGGAAGTTGAGCCATAGTATGTATATATAATTTATCATAAATACAAACCCTAAGGAACAGATATCAACTATGTAAGATTTTAAACAGGTCACAGTGAATAAATGCTATAAAATTCTCTTGGGTGATCAGCTGTGTCTGCTGAGTTAAGAACAAATGTTTTGGAGGCTCACTGTCTCCATTATCAAGGTCAATGTGAGGAATTACCAAAAGTTGTTGATAGGTAATAACAGTCCTAGTTAGGTCTTATCCGTCACTATGCAACCAGAGAGTCGAGTGAAATCGTGCAGTCACCCTTCCCCACTTTAAGCTCAGTGTCCTGTTACTTAACTTAGAGCTTGAGTCTGTCTTAAACGGTTGGGGAAAATCAGTAGCAGGCAAAGACTAGTTAACAGACACTTCAACCTCCAGTTTAAGTGGCAGGACACCGAATCTGAAGTAGGAGGGGTGACCACACAGTCTGGCTGCACCAACAGGGAAAATACCACTAGGACTGACAGGTGTATGTCAGTGACTTTTGATCGTTGCTCAAATTAACCCTGATGATGGAGACGGAATGAGCCTGTGAAATGATGGTTTTTAACTCAGCATTGACACGGCTGATAACTCAAAGGTATTTCATAGCAAATGTCAACTAAATCATATAGTGTGTCCATTTGAAATTATTTTTAAACCAAACATGATTAATGGATTCGAGAGACATGACATTTCTTCATCAAAAATGTGTCATGTACACCATATATGTTGCTCTAATTGAGTTCTCCACAGGATGGGGCAAGCAAGCAACTGTGAGTTGTGTGGATTATAGCTGTACTAAAAATGTTCTATTGCTGCATGGTTCTGCTATACATAAAATGTAAATTTTGTGAGAAATTTTTTATAGTTTTATCTACAGTCACCAGATGTCATGATGACTATTACAGCTTTGAAGCAAACTGTTTTATGTACATTGTCCATCATCCAATATAAAATAAATAAAACAATGACGTTTCGGAGATGGGAGTCTATCTCCGAAACGTCGTGGTTTATTGATTTGATTTGATTTGATTTGTTTTAATCTTCAACGATGGATAATGTCCAGAAAACATTTTGCTTCAACAACGTGCTGTTTTACTCAAATTATTGTTATTCTTGTATAATTAGTAATTCAAATATTCCCTTTAACATTAACAGAACGTGTTAAATGTGATGTGGTGCCTTCAGGAAAGAGAAATCAGCAGACTTGCTGACATTTCATGGTGGTTACATAACAGTTCACAATTATCAAAAGTGTGAAAGGTTGTCATTATTTTCAGTTACTGCAGTATTGCTTGTTTGAGCATTATGTTACTTATTATCCATTTATCATTTTCTTCATTGCTTGATTAGTGCAGCAGTCTGAATTCCTTACAGTTCTTGTACTTTAAATAAAATGCATGTCACATAAAAAGGTCACAGTACCCTCATATTGCGCCCATGAAAGCATTGGAACAGAAATTTCGTATTGAATTTAAAAGTGATTCTCCCAGTAAAATTCCATCATCTGCCAACATCTACGGCAATACAAATGTACCATTGTGCATTATAATCATGTCTGATATAGTGCCAAGCTATTTTGGCTGTACAGATAACTTCCCGAATATTCAGTTTTAAAAACACGCCAATTTCTGCGTTAACAAATAAAACGTACTCGGGTAAGAAACCACCTGTAGTGACTCAGGGATGGAATTGGGTTGATACCTTGGCTTTGCATACAATAACATATAATTTTATTATACTCTAAGGAATGTAATACACAGTTTAGTTTTTTCTGCATTTAATTCTGTAGCCTCACTGTTTAAGTTGTGAACTTAAGTATGTCATTAATAGGTAGCTACAGCTAGGTGAATGCACTTATCTCTTTGCTAATTGTGTGCATACTGTAAGAAGTTTCCAGCATTTCAAAATGAGGGAAAAATTCTAAGTGTGCAGAACTGTGGGATGCAAAATGTCAAAAACTCTTGCAATGTCTGAAGAAATTATACATCAGTATGATTGACAATTTCCATGTTACACTTTACTTGCCCTATCCAGTGAGGAAAGAAATATTGAGGATGAGGTTTGTAACACAAAAACCACTTATATATGAGCAGACAGGTAAAATTTGTTGGGGATGACTTGTGTTTTGTAAGAACCGTGACACCTATATGGTTTTTCATACATGTGTATTACTTATACTTTCAAACAGTGTTCTTTTAATTCCTTCCTGTTTTGCTCTTTGTATTACATTTTTATTCTTTTCTTTTTTAATTTTTTATTTGCTTTGGTATGCACATAAAAGCCTATATGTTTTCCTGTTTAAGACATTTTTGTACCTTACATTAATATCTGATATTGTACTGGGCACTTTTTAATGTTCCATAATTATTAATTGCTTGCATGCATTTTTGAAATGCAAACCAGGTAAAATGATCCATGAAGGGCAGTCATGATTGAGTAGTCTCATTTCCAGTAGAGTAAACTGTAAAATTTTACTAATTTGCTATGTTGGTATTTTTCTGTATGTAAAAGCGTATTTACACATTATTCATAAACATATTTTAACTATCATTTGATTTCATATAATAGTTCACAAACTAGGATAATGAAACCACAAAACTTAATATCTGTAATTTGAGCAGATATGCCTTCTTTAATATAAAATTTGAAGATATTGCCTCGTTACCAGATTACGCATGTATGGGAATCTAGAAATTACTTTTGATATTTTCTTGTCAAACTTATTTTTATTTTTAATTTATGATCTTAAAAAACATCCATTACTATGATCATCTGTTGTTCAAAGTTTAGCATTTTAACGGTAAATCATTCTGTTTACCACTCTCATTTCAGAGTTTCACAGAGAACAGTAATCAGTTTGGTTATAGAAGATAAGGCATGTGATTGACTTCCAGTAGCAAACCTTTTTTGCATGATTATTATTTTGATTGAACTGCTTTTAGTAGTAGCAGACAATGTAAGACAGGGCAGAGAGGTGTAAGCAATTTATTATAGAAAATGTGGAAGAAGTTTTGCATTTTTTCGATATTATAAAATTACATTAATAGACAGGCTAAAATATATACATAATCTTCTATGTTAGTAGAAGAATATGTTCTCAAGTATCATGGACAAAAACAAATATGGTAATAGAAAATATCTGTGGGTGAGGTAGAATATGCCCTGCCAAAAACAAATGTAATAACAAAGAAAATAACTGGTGAAGTGGAATATATTCAGTCAAAAACAAATGTGATAACAAACAATATTTGTGGGTGAGGTAAAATACATCCAGTAGTTACTTGGTATGAGACCTATGCTCTGTCCAGTTCTTTGTTCCATCTCACCATTTTACTCATATTATTTAAAATATTTATTTAGACATACTGCATGACTGCAAATAACTATTCCATTAAATGACTTGTAACAATTAGTAATTCCTTGAAGGGTTTGCATTTAGATAAAAATTGTAATAACCCTTATTCAGAGACAAACAATTTTGGTGTCGATCACAAAAAGCCAACACAAAATAGGAAGTCTTAACTGAAGACTGCATATCTGAAGAAATAGAAATGCTGACTTTGAGAGATGAAATGTTTGCTGCTTATAACAGACAAATGTCAGTCGTATGTGATATTTATCTGTTTTAATCTTCATGATGTTTGTTATTTTTTAGTTTTTATTTGAACTCCTTAATGCAGAGCAGAGGAGGTGAGAAAGGTTTAAAAAGCGATATCGTGTTGCTGAAGTACCGTGTCACCAAGACGTGCATTCTCAGAGCATGGAACTACATGGCTTTACTTCTCAGATATTTTTACTTTCAAGGAAAGCATTTCTGTAATGAAAGGTTATAATGTTTTTATGTATTCTGTCATATTATTGAATGTGAAATTTACATGAATACTTCAGTTACTACGGTAAGGTACTACTATGTGACCAGTCCCCAGACTGTATTTTACATCATCATTCAGAATGAATGTTATGGGTGACAGAAGAGAGCCCTCCATCTGCAGTTGCTTGTTTCTAAAGTCACTGGTAAAAGCAAGTGACCAAATATGGATGAGTGGTTAGCACTCCTGCTTTGTGTTTGGGAGGTCCCAGGTTCAAATCTCAGGACTGAAGACTGAGAGGCTGAGGAAAGCCAAGGAAAAACTCATTCAGGGTAGATGTGAACTGAACGACTCCAAAACATAAGCCAGCCATGTAACTGCTTAAGCTGACTTGCTCTTCTGTAAAAAAAATTGGGCTATTTAATTTTTTTTTGTGATGTCTTAGCTAGGTAAAAGTAAAGTAAACATGACATACGCACTATTAACCCATTGTTTATTCTGATAGGGATCCATTAGCTTCGCAATTAAAAATTGAGTTTGTCTTCCAAAGGGTTTATTATTAAAGAAATCTGATATTGTTAGTTACATTGTGTTTGTCTCTGAATACATCTGCCTGTATATTTGAACTGCAATGCAATGCAATGTTGGCTGTTCTGTTTGTTGTAATGAGCTTGTTATACTGATGCCATATTCCCCCCTGTTCCTGTTCTCTCCTTCCCCACCTTTGTGTGCGTGTGCACCAAATACCTCACCTCCTCTTGTTCGTGCGCAATTCCCACCCTCTGCATGTGCGCAACACAGAACACTTTGTCACAGGACCTCTACCACCAGAGCTACTCACGTGTTGGCGTTGTGTTTGCATCTATTACCAACTACCATGAATTCTACATTGAGCTGGATGGCAACAACCAAGGAGTTGAATGTCTTAGGTTACTTAACGAGATCATCGCTGATTTTGATGAAGTGAGTACAAGTCGTTAATGCCACTTATATTTTAATTTTTTTATAACTTGTGTCTGTTGTGCGGGTATGTATATAAAATATAACAGCAGGACACACAATAAGATGAAGATGGCTGTCTTCTGGGTTATTCTTCCATGTATTATGGTAGAAATTTATTGACGTTTCACAAGTACACACATGATTTGTTTTCTTAAAAGTACCAGTACTTGTGTATCACCGAGAGCTTTATTACCTACTGCAAACAAATGAAAACTAATAAAAGAAAGTCCTTATTTGACTTACATTGCCATCATCTCACCGAGAGATGCATGAAAAATATGTGACAATTGTTAATATCCCAGAGAGACTGTAATTCAGCAATCAGTCTGGTATAGAGCCATTAGGTGTCACAGACTGTGTTTGTTACGTATCTTTTGTTATGTAAGCAGACAAACAAAGATTTTAGCCAGCTTCTGTAAAATGTCAGTATTGTATTTGCAGTAGTTTCAGATTTTTATCTGTTTTAATCTTCATGATGTTTGTTATTTTTTAGTTTTTATTTGAACTCCTTAATGCAGAGCAGAGGAGGTGAGAAAGGTTTAAAAAGCGATATCGTGTTGCTGAAGTACCGTGTCACCAAGACGTGCATTCTCAGAGCATGGAACTACATGGCTTTACTTCTCAGATATTTTTACTTTCAAGGAAAGCATTTCTGTAATGAAAGGTTATAATGTTTTTATGTATTCTGTCATATTATTGAATGTGAAATTTACATGAATACTTCAGTTACTACGGTAAGGTACTACTATGTGACCAGTCCCCAGACTGTATTTTACATCATCATTCAGAATGAATGTTATGGGTGACAGAAGAGAGCCCTCCATCTGCAGTTGCTTGTTTCTAAAGTCACTGGTAAAAGCAAGTGACCAAATATGGATGAGTGGTTAGCACTCCTGCTTTGTGTTTGGGAGGTCCCAGGTTCAAATCTCAGGACTGAAGACTGAGAGGCTGAGGAAAGCCAAGGAAAAACTCATTCAGGGTAGATGTGAACTGAACGACTCCAAAACATAAGCCAGCCATGTAACTGCTTAAGCTGACTTGCTCTTCTGTAAAAAAAATTGGGCTATTTAATTTTTTTTTGTGATGTCTTAGCTAGGTAAAAGTAAAGTAAACATGACATACGCACTATTAACCCATTGTTTATTCTGATAGGGATCCATTAGCTTCGCAATTAAAAATTGAGTTTGTCTTCCAAAGGGTTTATTATTAAAGAAATCTGATATTGTTAGTTACATTGTGTTTGTCTCTGAATACATCTGCCTGTATATTTGAACTGCAATGCAATGCAATGTTGGCTGTTCTGTTTGTTGTAATGAGCTTGTTATACTGATGCCATATTCCCCCCTGTTCCTGTTCTCTCCTTCCCCACCTTTGTGTGCGTGTGCACCAAATACCTCACCTCCTCTTGTTCGTGCGCAATTCCCACCCTCTGCATGTGCGCAACACAGAACACTTTGTCACAGGACCTCTACCACCAGAGCTACTCACGTGTTGGCGTTGTGTTTGCATCTATTACCAACTACCATGAATTCTACATTGAGCTGGATGGCAACAACCAAGGAGTTGAATGTCTTAGGTTACTTAACGAGATCATCGCTGATTTTGATGAAGTGAGTACAAGTCGTTAATGCCACTTATATTTTAATTTTTTTATAACTTGTGTCTGTTGTGCGGGTATGTATATAAAATATAACAGCAGGACACACAATAAGATGAAGATGGCTGTCTTCTGGGTTATTCTTCCATGTATTATGGTAGAAATTTATTGACGTTTCACAAGTACACACATGATTTGTTTTCTTAAAAGTACCAGTACTTGTGTATCACCGAGAGCTTTATTACCTACTGCAAACAAATGAAAACTAATAAAAGAAAGTCCTTATTTGACTTACATTGCCATCATCTCACCGAGAGATGCATGAAAAATATGTGACAATTGTTAATATCCCAGAGAGACTGTAATTCAGCAATCAGTCTGGTATAGAGCCATTAGGTGTCACAGACTGTGTTTGTTACGTATCTTTTGTTATGTAAGCAGACAAACAAAGATTTTAGCCAGCTTCTGTAAAATGTCAGTATTGTATTTGCAGTAGTTTCAGATTTATATTTTTGTGACTTTTCAGTAAAATTTCTTGGCACTTACCAAACATATTTTTTGCTGCTTACATTGGAACTCAAAAGGTTAACATTAATTAATTACAGATTTGTGATTTGTGGTACAGTGTAACATTATCTGTTGCTAGAAAGAAAACCCATGTATATTATTTGTACTTTGTAAGATTACCTTTAGTCACTTAAAATTTATATTGTCTTCAGTTTTTCTTACCAAACACCAAAGAAAATCTACTTACAGCTAATGTATTTTGTACATTAGTTGTGATAAAATTTTATTAGTTCTTATTCAATTTTTTAGATAATTATGTTCAGGATAAATAATTTATTTCTCTATGGAGAAAGGATACTGTGCTACAGCCATGGTTTGTGAGCCATGTACTTTCTTTCATTTGATGTCTGTTCTGATTTAAGTATATAGTTTATGTTTTGTTAAAAAAAGTTTTTCAACTAATCTGCCTTGCTTATTAATCTTGATCTTTATTTATTTCAGTGCAAATCCATTGTGAAGTGAGCTGATCAGTCTGCCAATACTATACTGTCTTGTTCTTATCACTTGGCTTTATGCAGAGAATCTTACAGAGTACCTCTTCCTTTATTATGAAGGGTAGACAGCCTCTAAATTTTATTATACAAGAAAATATTTAGCATTATTTTAAGACTGACACATTGTTTGTAAAGTTTGTGAAAAAGAACTACTGCAGTCAAATACAGTAAAACCCTACATGGTCTTTCATCTTTACTGTCTTCATACATGATTCGTGTCTCACAGGCTAGGAGCCACATGTATGGGCAGTTCTTGATGTGTTGTACTAACATTATCAGTAAAATTATGATGATATTCTTTTGGGTTTTGGCACCATATATGCTTATGGTAGGTGCCAACATTTAGGAGAAAAATGCTGTCTCAATCTTCAGTGCTAAAGTGGTGATACTGGGAAGTGGAGAGCTTTATATAGGGTTAGAGGAAGGGAACGCTGAGGAAGTTGGTCAATCTTAAATGAGGAATGAGGGGGATAGAATTCTGGGCCAATAGGGAGTCTCCAAGTAGGCATCAAGGGGGGG